TGGATCTGATGGCACGCATACCATCTGAAGTAACAGACATGCCCAGGCACCAGGCTCCTTGGAACCATATAAACTACTATCAAAATCCAAACAGGTGGCAGTCCAGCTGTTTACTTGTTAGCTCTAAAATATGTATGCTAATTTGTTTGGGAATTCAGTCAACAAAACTGCTTAGTGAAGAGAATATCAAGAGATTTATGTCTCTAAAAAAATCTTCTATTTGCTAGTATAAAAAAATAAATCTTGGGAATGTTTCTTTCCATGATATCTGAAATTACTGTGTTGAGAAAGATAAATTAGCTTTCATGATCAAGACATTTAATAAATTAATAATCAGCCTACCTGTGGCAGCTTAGTTAAATGTTTAGAAATTTTACATGAAAAGATCATATTGAGGAACTATAAAATGTCAAATTATAAATGGGAATAGTTATCTTGTAATAGTTATTAAAAACTATACATTTATTTAATTTAAAGAGTCAGGTAATTCATAAGTCATATTCATCTACTCTAACTCATATTTTTATTTCATATCTAGCTCAAAGGGAACAGTTTTTCTAGCTGTGTTTTAAAAATTCTTTAAGGCTTGATCTTTTTGATATCATGAAGTGATTTAACTCTTAATGTATTTCAATAATGATGCTGCTTTTCATGTATCCTGGAAGAAAGATCTTTTGTTTATATTTGGATGAGACAGTTGATATAACATTTTGAGAAGAGATTATTACCTGTGATATGGCCAAAACCAGTGAAATAACTTGATTTTGACTATTTCTGGCAGACTATGGATGTTAACAGGAGATGCCAAGTTACTTCATTTACTAGATTTTGGAAATGTCTGTCTGCCCTCGTAATGATTAGAGACTTGTCATAATCTGGAAAGGTAATTCAGTTAATTTTAATTAATTTTCTAGGTTTTTTTTTTTAATGATAAATGCTAACTATTTTACAATATAGTCTGATATTAGCCACAGAGGGGGGAAAAAGTAGCATAATTAATGGATGTATGATTTGAATTTGCAAATTTCTTCGTGTGAATGTGTATTTATATAGGCTGAGGATAAAATATGGGAGAGTACTGAGGATAAAAAGTGTCAATTGTAGCAAATGGATTGAGTGCATTACACTTTTAAAAGAATAACTCTTGGAGAGAATACAGATTGGTCTGATTTCAAGTAGCAAAGGTAATAATATCTGTGAATTACCTGTATGCCAACATACTTGGATTATATTTCAATGGACTCAGCTTTTTCTCCTCAGTGTAATAGGAACTCTGTGTCTTTTTTTAGTTAGTGGCCTTTGATATTCTCAGATAAAAGGCCTCCTTCTGAATTCTTTGATCATATACTACAGCAAGTCAGCAAACTTTTCACTCATGGCATGTTTGAAAAAATTACTCATATTCTTAGAATTTGTTTTGAAGTATTTAGTAATTCAGTGACATGTTCTACAGAGTTTAAAGGAAATTAAGCCAGAATTTAATTTCATGCTCTAAAGAAGAATTGAATAAGTGGGAAATTCTTGGCCAGAATGGAAAATCCCTGAGCTATAAATCCAGCATCTTATCAATTTTTATTAAATGTAACGTAGTGACAATGCGTTTAACAACAGAGAGTCCTATGGGAATAGCCTGGACTTTGGAGACAAAGAAATTTGTGTTCAAGCCCAGCTCTACCACTTAATAGCTATGTGCCCTCCACCAGTTATTATTTAACACCCAAGCAGAGTTAACCCAGTTAGCTTCCGTATACGTTTCTCTAGAGTTCACCTGAGAGATCTGGTTTAGAGATACCACTATGAAGTTATCATTATATAAACAGCGGTAAAATCACGAAAATGGATGAGATTACTAAGGGAGAGTGAGCAGAGGGGTAATGACAGAACTGAACATAATGCCTGCATTTCAGGAACAATCAAAGGAAGAGGCACCACACAGAAGATTGAGACATTATGGCTAGAGAAATAAGTGGAAAACCAAGACAGGATAGTGTTAATGGAAGCTGAGGAGAGAACTCAAGAATGCCTGCTGAGTGTGACAGTTTGAAGCCAACTCAGCGGCACCTAACAACAACAACTGTATCCATAGAGCTGCCATAGAGTGGCCTGGGGACAAAGCCATTCTTTCACAGAGACTTGGTAGTGATTAGGGGCTGAAGAAGGGAAGACCCTCATGGTAGGCCACTATTTCAGGTAGCTTAACTGAGATGAAATATTTGGCTGTAACTAGAGGGGATTACAGGGATAAGGGAAGGCTTTTTGACAGTGGAAGAGACTTGAGCGTTTATAGGCAAAATGAAAGAAACTAGTAGAAAAGGAGGAGTCAGAAATACCAGAGAGGGAGAAGAAATCAATGATGGACACGATCCTTGAGAAAATAGGAAAGAGAACACTGACGAGCCAGTTGGCTTTGGATAAGAGTAAAGACCTGAGACTAGATGGAAAGAAGAAAGCATGAGTGAAGATGGAAAGGGTGAGGTAGGGAGTTGCTGTTGTGTTGTTATTAGGTGCTGCCAAGTCAGTTCTGACACATAGCATATGCACAACAGAATGAAGCACTACCCAGTCCTGTGGCATGCTCAGTCGTTGCTAAGTTTGAGCCCATTGTTGCAGCCACTGTGTCAGTCCATCTCATCGAGGGTCTTTCTCTTTTCCGCCGACCCTCTACTTTACCAAGCATGATGTCTTTCTCCAGGGACTGGTCCCTCCTGAAAACATGTCCGAAGTACGTGAGACAGAGTCTCGCCAACCTCGCTTCCAAGAAACGCACTGGCTGTACTTCTTCCAAGACAGACTTGTTTGTTCTTCTGGCAGTCCATGGTGTATTCAATATTCTTCGCCAACACCATAATTCAAAGGCTTCTATTCTTCTTCTGACTTCCTTATTCATTGTCCAGTTTTCACGTGCATATGAGGTGATTGAAAATATCATGGCTTGGGTCAGGCGTACCTTAGTCCTCAAAGTGACATCTTTGCTTTTCAACACCTTAAACAGGTCTTTTGCAGCAGAGAGGTAGGGAGTAGAGTCAGAAAACAGAGAATGTGGTTCCTAGCTCACTTTCTCTCTTTTCTTGTGAGGTAGAAATTGAATTATATGCTGACAGTGAAGGCACAGGGGACTCAAAAAACATGGAGATAGTATAGAAACCTCCTGAAAGGGTGGCTGGGAAAGAGAGGTGTAGTGAGATTAGTGTCAGGGCCAAGGCATATAGTCAGGAAATCTTGCGCAGCCCAGCTCCAGGGAATGCCATGAAACTATTGTGTATCGTGGCAGCCCCCAAGTGTTAAGTATTATCAAGATACTTAGATCTGTGGAATTCTCAGCTACCTTTCAGTAGAATAAACTGAGCAAACACTTTTAAGAAGATCTTTTATAATACATTCAGGTAAGGGAATGTATTGAAAACAAGCTTAGAAAAATAGATTCTAGAAGACAATTTCTAAGCTTGTTTCCAATGCATTCCCTTACCTGAATGCATTATAAAAGTTCTTCTTAAAGCTGTTTGCTTAGCTTTTTTTAAAAAAAGGAGGAAGATTTTGAAGATTGGAGGAGGTTATGTATATAGAGTGATTTGTGTGGTGTTGGCCCCATAATGAACATTCAATGAATGATTGATCTGATTATCACTATTATTGTTGTTATGATTATTCATTCTGAAATGAGTCTATAATGTGTAATTGGAGATAGCTGACTTTCTCCTTTTTAATGTCATGAATGTTCCGATGACATCACTCCTTTCCTGTCACTTCCAATTCACTAACGAGCTCCCCCTTGTAATTCCAAATTGGGTATGGAGTAGTGGTTATCCTAACAGTTTCCTCATGCCTTCTGGACATGAAATTGACAGCAAATCCAATTTAGTATTTATCAGATGCTTTACTTCTAGACAGATGTATTCAGGTATGTGAAGCCTCCCATTTCTAGTGTATTTTGCTTCTCTGCTAGATTTTGGATCAGTGTTTTCAGTGTGTATCCATTTTTTTTATCTGACCAGATAATTTAGTCAACTACAATACTTGTATTTTTCTTTTTCCTTATTTTAACCTTGTTTCCTTAAAATGCATGATGTTTGATGCTTTTTCATACCCTCCTCTGTTGGCATTCTAATGTTGAGTATCATGGTACCACAACTAGGAGAAATTAATAAGATTGTATATACTACTTTGTGTTATAACTGGAAAGTTCAGCCTTTGTATCACCCATCCTTTACATTAATGCATTCATTCACTAAACATTTTGAGCTAGTCACTGATCAGTCTTTGAGATACAGCAGTGAACAAAACAAAGTCCTTGTTCTCATGAAGCTGTGTTCTAATAGGGAAACATTAACTTATAGCCCTGGTGGCACAACAGTTTAAGCACTTGGCTGCTTACAAAAGGTTGACAGTTCAAATCCACCCAGCAACTTTACAGGAGAAAGACCTGGCAGTCTGCTTCTGTAAAGATTTTAGCCTAGAAAACCCTATGGGGAAGTACTGTTCTGTCACATGGAGTCACTACGAGTCAAAAATCAACTGGATGGCCCCCTACAACAACATATGAGGTTATAACAAGTGCCATGAAGAAGACCAAAAATGGGTGACAGATGGAAAGTGTTAGGTAGGAAATGTAAGCTGGGAGATTAGGAAGGCCTCCCTGAGGAGATGACATTTCAACAGGGTACTGAATAAAGTGAGGGGAGAGCAAAACACATGTTTGGGGAAGGAATTCTCTAGGCAGAGGGATAGCAAGTGCAAAGGCCCTGAGGTAGGAGTTGGTCTGGTGTCCTTAGGAAAGCAAGGCCAGCATGACTGAATCAAAGGTAGTGACCAGGAGAGAGGGAAGCAGAAGTTAGAGAGGGAGCCAGGGGGCCAGAACATTTAGGGCCTCAGGTTTTATTCCAGTTGAAATAGGACACAGCTGGAGGATATTGAGCAGAGAAGTAAAATGTTGGTTTTTGATATCCTGAGATTGTATTTCTGGCTGAATCATGAGCAACTAATCACAATTACTCACTATTTCGTGAAAATGTACAGCTAGGGAATGGTGTCTCATAGACAGTTGTCATGGACTGAGTTGTGTCCCCCCAAAATATCTGTCAACTTGGCTCAGTCATAATTCCCAGTATTGTATGATTGTCTACCATTTTATCATCTGATGTGATTTCCCTCTGTGTTGTAAATACTATCACTGTGATGTAATAAGATGGATTAGTGGCAGTTATATTGATGAGGTCTGCAAGATTAGATACTGTCTTAAGATAGTCTTTTCTGAGATATAAAAGAGAGAAGTGAGCAGAGAGGCAGGGGGACCTCATACCACCAAGAAAGAAGAACCGGGAGTAGAGCATATCCTTTGGACCTGAGGTTCCTGTGCTGAGATGCTCGCAGACCAAGGGAAGACTGATGAGAAAGACCTTCCGCCAGAGCCGAAAGAGAGAGAAAGCCTTCTCCTGGAGCTGATGTCCTGAATTTGGACTTGTAGCCTACTAGACTATGAGAGAATAAATTTCTCTTTGTTAAAGCCATCCACTTGTGGCATTTCTGTTATAGCAGCACTAGATGACTAAGACAACAGTTTTATCCTCAAATCTCTAAGCCTGTTTTTGTTTACCTATATGGATAGAATACTAGAAACAGATAATTTTGTTTCTGTTAAATCTAATCATGTATTTAATAGAAATATGTGTCTGTGGATAGAGAGATAGCCAGACTCATGACACCATTCCTTAACTGGAATACTGTTCCCACTACAAACAATCTGCATGATAATCCTGGCATTGTTTCTTTTTGTCTGTGATAAAGTGCTTATGACCTGGTCACAGATACTTCGACTTTTACCAAAATGACCCTAAAAAAAAGAACAAACTTGAATTTTTTTCTTCCCAAATGAAAATATAAGTGAGA